ATATATATATAATTATATATATATGTATATAATTTAAAATTTCATAAAATTAATTAACTCTAAAGTAATTTTGGCTTGTCGACGTATTGCTTGCCGTGGTGAATAATAGTGGCAAAGGTGCCGGCCACCATGGCGCCCCAAAATAGCATATAGAGTAATATTTCTGTTGTGTATCGCGACGGTAAGATTACGTGAGCGACCAGCATCGAGGACGCGACTAAAAGAACAAGTGGGAATGTAGCGTAACGCCAGTTTCGCTCGGATTCCAAGGGACATTGAATAGAAGTGCATTCACCCTCCTGGACGATGTAACGGCCTAGAAAGAGCTCCAACGAGTCCTGGACAACATAAAATGTTATCATATGTTATATCACCGAGAAAAAGAGAAAAATGCTTTCAAGATTTATCTACCTGTCTATATCCATCAGCAAAATTGTTCTTGTAATATCTCGTTAGAGAATTTAAACCGTCTTTCATCGCGCCCAACTTGGTACGCTTTCCAGTTCGCGTGAAGTCAGTCTTCAACGCTCCTGTACCCGAATATTGGATGCTTATCACATCCGCGTTATCCGCCCAAATCTAAAAATATTAGTAAAAAATTTTTTCAATTATTAAAATCAGTATTATTTCTATTAAAAAATCAACATTTATTTGTCTCAAAGTATATTATCTCATTACTTAGTATTATAATTATTTATTTATTATATACTCATTAAGAATATTTAATATTGAAAGTTTAAAAAAAATTAAATTAAAAAATTTAATACCTGTTTGAAAAGATTTTCAAACGCAGGATGATCTTCGACCTTTCTAAGTATCTCTAGCCTGCTCAATACTTCGTTAAGAACTCGCTTCGCAAGCATGCTTTGTACAACATTCGTCCGGTCTAGACAGTCGATGCAATTTGTACGGAAAACACCATCCTGAGCCGAGAGCAATGCCCCGTCCCTCATCAACAAGAAATACCCCATCTGTTCCTGATCATGGGCTAATCGGTCCATTAAAGTGTTCAATTTGTCCCACCTCAGTCTTCTGCATTCCGCGTGAAAGTCAAAAGCTTCATATCGAACATTTTGATTGTTAATTCTTTGGACTAAATTGCGATATGCATCTTCAAGCAATGCTTCTGGTCCACGTTGATCAATCTGTTCAAAATATCGGTACGTTTATAAATATAATAATAATAATAGTTTTTAATAAGATAAAAAAACTTTCTCAGCCAATTCTTGTCTATGTATGTATAAACAAAATTCACAAACAAATTTTTCACAATTATTTTAATTTTCTACTACCTGTATTATACTAACTTATATTATATTAATATTTAATTTACTAATATATTATATTATACTAATATTGTAAACAAATGTGGAAAAAAAGGAAACTTACCAAATTCACCAAGATTTGCTTTCCATAATGAAAGATTTGAACATCGAAGTGACGAGCGCAAGCGCTTTGGTGGTCCTCGTGCGGACTGATCTGCGGCTTCGGCTTGTACTTCAAATTTGGCGCTTGACACCAAAATAGAGGAATGGATCCGCGCGTCTGCACGAAGGAACTGCGATCGCCGTTCACCTCAATCAGCTGCTCCGTCTCCACGTAATTGGACACATTCCCAGTGGCATCTATACCGCGTGAAAATAATCTCGTGCCAGCACGATGTATACCGCGTCTGGAGACAATGCCCCAATTGAACGCAACGCCGTTCACGACCACAGTGTTCAGCGAGACGACTGTGTAATCAATTGTCAGGGTCAACACAGAAAAATATACTTGACACGAGACACTACCATGCCTCCTAATCTTCAAACGTTTAACCCTCCATGCACTAGATGAGGTGTGACATACCCCAGAAAAATTAAACTGCTTAAATTGAATTCGTAAGAAATAGCATTATTTTTGTTTTCTTATTTCAAAAGATTAAAGAGTTTATTACTTTGTTTTATTCTTATATCTTAAAGAACAAGAATCGATTTTATGACAGTTGAAATTATTGTTGTATTAAATTAGTATACTTAAAGCGAAGTAATAGCACGGGGTATGAGGATACCCCACACGGTTTAGCATGTTGAGTTTTTTCCACCTGATACATGGAGGGTTAAATGACATATGACACATATCAAAGGATACAGCCATGAATAATGGGTAAACAAAATTTATATTGCTCCGGTCTTGCACTCAGGTCCTGCAGAAGGTATGCGTTCCATACGAACCTGGGATCTGCTCTGTCGTGCAGCGGCATCTAAATAACAACATGTTTCCTTACAAAAAGAAAACTGCTTGCAACACCGCACAAAGCAACGATATACACACGCTACGATATATATTTACTTGCAAGAATTCAGGTGTCGTGTTGTGCAGCCTTTGCATAGTGTGACTGAGGTCGTAGGTATAACTGAAGTAAAAGTACGGCGTGTTCAAGATGGACTTGACCATCTCCAAGTACACGGCATTGTTTTGGACCTGCTTCTCAGTCAGGTGCAGAGAGGATCTGGTGTAGGGTATCACGTCGGTCGAGGCCACCCTGAAGATGTTGTGTCCGGCTATAGTCCCGCACATTTGAGCGTCCGTAATAACGACGAGGTAGCGGCATGCCAACAGGCGTATGGTCCCCACCAGTCCCCATATTTTCCTACGGCTGGCAGTTTGTGGGATCTGACTGGCGGTACCGACTGCGGAAGGAAGCGAGGATTCACCGTCGACCCTGAGCCACGACTTAACGCACACAATATTGCCTGTCAATTACCTTGTGTGTAGATCTGCTGACTCACTCTATCGACCACCAGCAGGACTTTGGTTCCGACCGGCTCCACGAAAAACTTCTCCGGAGTGGCGTACCTTCGCAGAATGTCAAGATTAATAATACCAGTGGGCAGTGCGGGCAATAAAATTGACACGAAATTTTTTTTGCATTTCACATCGAGTGTAAAGTGCATTCCATACGTGTGACTGCGAAAACTACTCACAAGTATAAACTGTCATAGACATCCGTATTTGGCATCATATTGTCAAATGACGAGTAGATCGGGAGCGAGTAGACACGCCGAGCGGAAAGATGGGCAAGCGAGAAAATAATAATAAAATAACACCGGGAAAAATAAATTACGAGCTTCGGGCAAAACACAACCCATATATACGCATATATATATATTTTTTTTTCTTAAGCACAAGATTAAATAAGAAAAAAAGACTACGACGCAAATTGCTATCAACTCCGACTTGACATGATCAGAGGCTGTCAAGAGCAATCAAGATCGAAATAACCTTGCCAAACAGCCACCGTCACCGTGAGACTGTCTCTTTCTATCTCAATCTTCGGATATCCATAATTCAAGGCTGCCTCGCAACGTCGCGGGGAAAATTTCTCAAGTGCCGATTGGCTCGGGGGAACAAAAAATTGAGTCCGTTCCGAGATGTACCGATAATACAGAAAATCTATAGTTTTCGTGACGTATACTGTAGATTTTTAAGGCGATGCTGGAAAATTTGCACGAGGTCGATAAAACAGTCTGTTTAATTTCAATGGTATGTATGTATGTACTAAATAGCCTAAACGAACTTCTTACAATATATATATTCTATCTCAGTCAAACACATTGTCCTTATCTAACTTATTTTACACCACAATTTCATGTCTATTTCAACCCTGTGAAAGGATTTTCAATTCCGTTCAGCCAATTCGGAGAAATTTACTGAACTGCAATGTGTCGGTAATTCCGACCTTCCAACATCGCCTACGATTAACGAATCTCGGAACGTCAATCTCACCGAGAAAAAGCTGCAGGGACTTCCATAAGAGCCCTAGAAGTCCCTATCGAGCGGCCAATCGGCGCGCGCGAGGTATTCTACGCGCCGGGAATGTTGCGATAGGAGACCCAAGGCTTCTCAGGTGCGTTCCTTTTTTGAATTCCATTTTTTCTCAATTTTCTACATTTATCCTCGCCTCGCTGAAATTATTTCGATCGCACGAGGTGCAAGGTGTCGTTCGATCGTTCCGCGAAATAATCTCGGGGGCGTTAACGGCCGTTAAGCGACGCGCCGTTCGCCAGCACGCCCAGCGAAATGAGGTTATGTCGTGCGGCGGCGGTCAGGCATTTGCCAAACGTCACTCAACAATTCGGATAATCGTTGAAAGTGGCCGTCCGCTCCGCTCCTCCGAACTCCGAAGTCATTATGTCGCTCCGCACGGCGGTGTAAGAAGTCTCTTCCGTTTCGTCGCTATTCTTTCTCTTGCGAAACGAGGCGAGAACGCGTAGAACGCGATCTACATATAAAAGAAAAAAAAGCGAGGACTAGAAGCGGGCACAGCAGGCATGCGAGGAGCGGATTCGAAAATTGCCGGCCGAAAATCGGCTGCCAATCGGCTCGGCTCCGTTCCGGTCTCCGTGTGCACGCTCAAAATTACGCATTTCCGGCACACGGAGATCGCGAGCATTCCGTCGAACCGGCCGGTAGAAGGGGGAGGAGGGCAGTCGGACGTCTCATTGCGCAATCCGTTATCACTCTACGTTCAGCCGCTCAGGCGTCAACCTTTGTACCGGAGCGATGCCGAGCGTAACTCGTCGTCGCTCGACCGGTCGCGGTGCTTGATTGAATCGGCCTCGGGGAGGTTTTTCCAATTTCCGTCTTGGCACGGGTTGATTGGCCCGCCCCGCCGCGCCCTGCCCCCCTGCCGCCCTGCCCGCCCTGCGTGGGGCCCAACCGCTATCGAACTGTCAAACTCGGCCGCCGTCGAACTGTCAAACGCGGCCGCCGTCGAACGCGTCATCCGGAAGTGTCGGAGCTTCACGGAGACGTGAAGGCGTACATGACGCCGAGGTGTATACACGTCATTGACGTCATCTCGCGCTCTCTTTCCCTTCCTCCTGTACCCTCCTCTTCCCCCCCTCCTACTCGTCCTCTTTCTCTCTCTTTCTCTC